ATCAAAAGCCAGAGGACAAGGGAGACAAGCGATAAAGGCCATAGGATATGGGTAGAAATAGACACAAAAAAACAACCACCACAATTAGGGTTACAATTGGCTACAGTGACACACAACCAGGATAACAATTGCTTAAATAATTTAGTAGTTTGTCTCGTGTAAATGAAGTCCAGGGTTGATATGTCAGCTGTCAGTAATTGGAGACCCAGACTCCTTCTATCTAGCTACCCTCCACTTCCTCAGCATATTACCTCATAGTCCAGGATGGCTGCTTGAGCTCCAGACATCATGCTGGCATTTCAACATGGTGGAAGATGAAAGAAAAGCAAAAAGGAAGAGTACACTTTCTTATTTTAAAGGCATTTATTTGAAGTCACACATGACACTTCCACTTAGTCACATGAGCACACCTGGTTCCAAAGGGGGCTGGAAATGTGATGTCTATGCGAAGAAGTCTTGCGCCCAGCTAAAAATCAAGCACTTTCCTATGAAGTAAAACAGGGAGATTGGATACTGGAGGACAACAAGTTCTTTGTTACAGTCTCAGAGGAAAAATCCTAGTCCAGGATCTGCTGGAGAAATTCCAGGACTGAGCCAGAGCCTTCTCAGTGTTTGATAGCCAACACAGCGAACACATTAATAATAACGACATTGTGTATTGTGACACATCACGTGTCCTCCCACTACGTGATGGTTACTTACACGCCCACTTCTAAGGGAAAATCGATTTTGCTGGGTAGGGATAATGCACATTTGGTGAGGAAATGCCAGTGAGACACATTTGCCAGGGGAGATTTAAAGACTTGTTGCTGGAAGATAAGCTGTCCGTAGGTATCATGAAGCCAGCTGGTTTGATACAGAAGCAATGGATCTTGTTTTCAGACTTGAGGGATAAATCTGCATTTAACAAGATACTCTAAAGTGTGACTCACTAATTCTTATGGAGAACAGCCCCCATGGCGCTGCGTTACAGCAGGTATGCCAGCTGGCTCGGCCCGAGCCCTTCCTTGGGGACGCTAGTCTCTTTCTCAACACCCAACCTGTGCAGCCTGCTCCACCACTCAGAGGGCTGCTCCCATGAAGAGTGACAGTGGGGACCTCCCCAGCCTGCCAGTGAACTGTCTCTATCCTCTTCAGCTTAGGACAGTCCCAGCCACCCCACCACCCTGGGCTCCCAGGGTACACAGGCAGAGGGCATCTCTCTACTTCTCCCCTCTAGCTGCCTTTGCAGGCTCTGGTCAGCCTGTCCAGAGAAGGAGGGGAAGAGGTCTCGGTCCTTCCATCGTTCATGCAGTTAACTGTTGGGAAACAGCTACTGTGTGCACTGCTGTAGGCACATGGGGGCCACAGAGAGCATGAAGGCTTATCTAGTTGGCAGGGACAGGAGTTCTGTGCACACAACTAGATCATGCATGGCAAGAATACAGACGACATCACAGACCTGCAGTGTCCCGGGAATAGCAGATGTTGTCAGTCCTATAGGCTTTGGATGGACAGTTACTGTGAGTTGGAATGTTTAAGGAGAACTCATAGACAGAGTAACCATTGGGTAGGGCCTTGGTGTAGGGTAGGAGTTGGCCGATAGGGAGGGGTTGGAAGAGAACAGTGTGTCCAGTGACAGCTGCATGGAGGCAGGGATGAGGATTTGTGCTCCGGGAGCAGTCCTGCTGGGATGGAGGCTGGTGTGGCATGGTGCTGGAAGAGGAAGGGAGAGCTGGGCTTGTGCAGGGTCTTGGCTGCCGGGCTAAGGAGAGC